TTTTTTTTTAAATTTGTTAGAGCCCCGATTTTAGTTCAAGAGATGAGGCTTGAGATAACGAGGAAAAGGATCAGGTGTAAATAAGGGAGGAGAGAGAGAAGCAGGGAAGGAGAAAGACATATAGAGAAAGGTAAACACTTTTAGTGGGTATTTGTGAATTTAAACTATAAGTAACCTATAAAGCTTACTACGTATGTGGCCAGTCAGTAGCATCAAAGTTTATGAGAATACATCAATTATTTGGACTTAATCACATGCTAATCAACATATATATATATATGTATGTATATATATATATGGCCCCAACTGACAGCGTGCTCAGTGAATACCTCAGGCAGCAGAAACCCAAGAAAGTGGAGGAAGACAAGGAACCATCATGGAAGGACAGGCCCCTGCACGGTATGTAGAGGAGGTGGCTGATATCCAGAAATCCTACCAGTGGCTGGACAAAGTTGGACTGAAAGACAGCACAGAGGCACTAATCATGGCAGCACAGGAACAAGCTCTGAGTACAAGATCCATAGAGGCTGGGGTCTATCACACCAGGCAAGACCCCAGGTGCAGGCTGTGTAAAGATGCCCCTGAGATAATCCAGCACATAACAGCAAGGTGCAAGATGCTAGGAGGCAAGGCATACATGGAACTCCATAACCAAGTGGCCGGCATAGTGTACAGGAACATCTGTGCCGAGTATAACCTGGAAGTCCCGAGGTCAAAATGGGAGATGCCCCCAAGGGTGGTGGAGAATGACCGAGCTAAGATCCTGTGGGACTTCCAGATACAGACGGACAAAATGGTGGTGGCTAACCAACCGGACATAGTGGTGGTAGACAAACAGAAGAAGACGGCCGTAGTGATCGATGTAGCGGTTCCGAATGACAGCAACATCAGGAAGAAGGAACACGAGAAGCTCGAGAAATACCAAGGGCTCAGAGAAGAGCTCAAGAAGATGTGAAGGGTGAAGGTGACGGTGGTCCCCGTGGTAATCGGAGCACGGTGACTCCCAAGCTAGGCGAGTGGCTCCAGCAGATCCCGGGAACAACATCGGAGATCTCTGTCCAGAAGAGCGCAGTCCTGGGAACAGCTAAGATACTGCGCAGGACCCTCAAGCTCCCAGGCCTCTGGTAGAGGATCTGAGCTTGAAGGATTGACCGCCCGCAGGGGCGAGTGGGGAATTTATTTTATATATATGAGTACAGTAATCTCTTTTTATATACTTTATAACTTAAAAAAATACTTGCTGTACATTTGAATTCTCTGGAGTCAGCTTCAAGAAATATTTATTCTGTTCATGGTAGATGGAGGCAGGATGAATCAGTCTCAGCCCTTAGTTCAAAGGAGAAAGTCGCATCTAACTTTACAAATGAGGTGATTAAAGCATAACTGACCTTAAGTTCGTAAACACTTATTTAAGTAGTGTCACTATTTGAAATGCACATTTTAAATTTTCCACTTTCATCATTGTTCTCTTTGCAGTATCTAAACTCTCTTGCAGGGTAATTACACACAATATGCTGCCACTATAGCAATAAGAAACTAAGATGTGAACTCTGCCTCCAGCCGCCCCCAACTAGCCTCTGTCAACTGTGCTGACCAGTCCCCATGGCAACTGGCACAGAACTAATTTTCCTGAAATGTGACCATCGCTTTTGGAAAAGAGTAGAAAAGAAAAAAAAATAACAGTTGTATTTGCTGTATGCGCTGTGAAAACACATCTTTCATATAGTGCCAGAGAACCCACGAGGCTTTGTCTTCTGTACAAATATGAGTGGCAGGCTCTTTTCTAGCCCTGAGCAAACGCTATGGTCCTCGTCATCCTCCTCCTCCTGACTCCACCGTGGGACTGCATTCTGTAGAAACAGTGTAAAAAAGACCACTGGCACTGAAATTGATTTGGCTTTAATTAACCATTGTACAATGATCCATGGCTTCTGCCAAACAGTCGGCGTGATTTACGATCCACTTGTGGTTGAATATGGACACAGGAGGCAACTTCAGCTGAGCTTGTTCTGTTAAGAAAGAAAGTAGTTCAGGCTGAGTTTGCAATCCAGAATTTAATATGATATTTGAGACACCAAAATACAGGCATTTTGAAATTCTCTCTTTCTCCAAAATATATTATATTAAAATATAATATTCTCCACAAGGAGACTACACTCTCCTAAAGGATTTTAAATGTTATGGAACCTTTTTTATCCCTCTAGCCTTTCAAAGTAAATACTTAGTTACAATTATTTGCAGAACATGTTTTCAATTTGTTTTTTCAGAATTCTGGAACAAAATTTAAAAAAAGACCCTCATATTTATATGTATTCTCTGCCATGTAATCCAATTTAGTATGTTTGATTTAAAAGCAGCAGCATATGTTATTGATTAGTAAGTAAATAAATCGGTATGTGCATTTTTCTCTTGTCCTGTATGTGACCTGAAGTCATTCATGTGTTTTTGGTGCTTCTTTATTTGCACAAAAAAAGGTCTGCTCACTTTAGAACGCACTTTAGTTACCTTAAACTTAAGCCTTTTACAAAAGGGGACAAGTTTTTCTCCGAGTGCACCGTGAACGTTTGCGTGCCAGCCGTGGGATTGCCGCTCCTTGCAATCGCCACCAATTCCTGAACGTTCATTGTTCTGCAGCTGATTGAGGTGGTTTCTCCTTTTAAGACTCGGTGAGGGAAAGGAGCGCAAATCACTGACTTAGCAATCCGCTCCCAACAAAATCTCCTCCCTCTTTCACTGTAACAGGCCAAAGATCGTGCTGCGCTTGCAAGTCTAACAGTCAATACTTAAAAAAGCCATGAAAAAGAGAGCAGCATTAGCATATCAAAGACCAACATCTGACAAGGGCCTGCCTGAACCTTCCATAAGTGGTGTGCACTGGGAGAAAAGGGTTTGACTGTACAGGAGGAAAGGTGGGAAAAGTCCAACAGTTGAAGATTACTGAGGGTTTTACTGCTGCTCATCAGTCACACAAGATGAGACCATCACAAGAGAGGGATTAGGAAGAATATTAGGGGGCAGATGTTGAAGATGAGAGCCCTCCTCTCTGCCTCGGGCTCTGATTAAACCCAGTATATAACACATGATTTTTTTCAGTGAGAAAGCACAAAGGTCAAAAGTATAGGTATGGTGGTCAGAAGAATAAATGGGAGGTATACAAGCCACGTTAAAAGCCAGAACTAACAGACGAGGAAGGAGTTCAGTGTCTGGTGTCAAATCTCTCCTCTGGCTTCTGTCTGCTGTCAGTGAGGTGAAGACAGTAGAACAGCAAAAGAAAAATTTGAAAAAATTCGTCTTGGCAACAGTGCAGGACATAGTGTATTACAGCTGTATTTAATGAAAAAAAGTGCTGCATTGATCATACTGTGGGGAATTCCTCCAAACATCCTGTAAAGCTAAAAGGCCAGGGAGCTCCCTGTGCTGGTCTGATTGAGGGTTTCCTGTTTTAAGTACTTAATGAGGAACTGGGGAAAAATCTAACTTCCAGGTCTCTTGACTTGGATGCTTTCCGGACAATAATAATGAAACAAAGCTTCTTTTTTCCAGGTTCTTCTGGATGATGTTACCAAACACCTGCTGTTGCTGTACATGTGCAGTTTTAAATTTTGTTCAGTAAGGGTCTTACATCAAAATGCAGAAAAGGAAAGCAATAAAAAAAAAGAGATTTCTAATAATGGCAAAACCAGAGAGAGGAAAAATGACTCGGCTGCAGTTTCCCTACTTTGTCATTTTGGAGCCTTAAGACAAAGTAACACACAAATGAAATATAAAAATTTTACTTGGACACTTTCAGTTTCACTTGATATGCTTTCCTACAAGAAGATAGCATGCCATATTATATTCAATAAGCTGATTCTGTTCATCTGGATGTAGCATTTTCACATAGCTGAACCAATGGCCCAGTGATGTATCAGGATAGGATAACTAGTGTGCAAGCTGAGATCAGTTTTATGTAGGGAGAAATTAGAGACTAAACCTGTACCTGGACTTAAAGATGGTTGAAGTTAGGCATTTTAACATGGGGGTCAATTACACTTGGAGTCAGCCTCAAGTGGCCATTTGAGGAATTGCAGTTGTCAGTACTTCTAGTTTGGCCATCCATCCATCCCTTCATTCTTTCCACTTATCCTTATCGGGGCTAACACATTAGCCTTGTGTCAGAATATCTTTGATCAGATAATATTAATCTGAAACAGTAGACTGTCAATTTTAGTGACACATGAGTGAACGCAGTGCTCAAGAGTTTCTACAGATCATAATGTTGGACTCTTAGTACGCTTACCTGCCTCCAAATAAATGCTAATATATAGCTGCTGTTTAACAGACCACACCACTAAAGGTAATAAATGCTACTTTCAGCAATTCCCTTGTCTTAAATAGCACAGCAGGTTGCTCCAGCTGTTTGCTTTGGCAGAATTTTATAACCGATGCCCTTCATGACGCAAACACAAAGGGTTTTTGTGCATTGGGCTAGAATTTTATCAGGGACCTTCAAATTTCCAAGCAAATGCATTAACTGCCACACTATGGAACAAACTAACTTTGCACCAATGTTAACAATGTTTATTTTGTCAATAAATTGTAAGGCATGAAAGACCATAAACCACAAATAAACACTTAAAATCATTACATTTACAACTGTATTCAGTCAGTTTACTCCACAATAACATTTCATTAGTTCCTTTGAGTCAGCGTCAGCTTGAGGTCAACAAGCTAGAGGTCTTTTAAATAAAATCCCAGATTGACATGTACAGGATATTGATTTTTTTCTTGAATTATGAGTAAAAATAATTTGAGAACTAAGACGGACCTTAAAGTCTTTACAATAGTTGTTTGTCTTGTATCTGTCTGATGTTGGAGTGTTTTATCTTGTTGCTGTAGATTTTCACCTTCTTTACAATGAACTTTGGTTTATTGTAGAAGGCTCAATCCAATGAACAGTTCACAAGAAATGAAACTTACCCTTTCTCGCACTGCGCGCTGCTTGGCAGCTGCTTAACAGCAACAGTCTCATTGGCTTTTCTAGTTAATGATTTGCAAATTTAGGCCATGTAGCCTCCATGTGGTATTTACCAATGCGCTTATCTAATCTGTCTTTGCATATTAGCACTTCTCCATCTGAAATGTAAGCTAATAAGTTTCAGTACCAGTCAGAGTAAATTCGCTACCAGTCGTGCCCACCAGCTGACTGAAGAGGTGAAGCCATGGCACCAACACTGGTGAGTGATCCTCTCCTTGCTTTTACTATTACTTAAGTCCACATTTTTGTGACTACATTGGTATGTTGTGTGCTTTTACTTGATCAAATTTTTATTATTTTTAGATATATGAAAATTCAGAATTTATGCTAACCTTTTTCTTTGCCACAGCAAAGAGATTCAAACAACTTTGATATATTATACATTATTACAATATCTGAAAATTACTAGGCGACTCATATTTTCACCTCGTTATGATTTTTGTTCTTCCTCTAGTCAGCTTTTACTAGCTCACTTGTCTGTTTATACTGAGTGCTGCCTTTTCTCATTATTTTCAGTTTGACAAAGAGCCAAAGCCAGGGGACCTTATCGAGATCTCTCGGGGGGCATATAAACACTGGGCTGTTTACATTGGAGGAAATGAAGTTGTTCATTTACTGCCTCCGAGTGAGTATTACATTTTTGACCTGCACAAAACACACATTAACGTGCCCTACATAATTCACAGATGTTGCTTTAGTGTCTCTCTGACCTCCTTTTTCCTCTTCCAAAAAAAGCACATTCAGGTGGTGAGTTGGGATCCTTCGGTGAACTGCTGACGTTACTAGACAGCGGTAAGGCGCAGGTGAGGCGTCAGAAGATCTGGGAAGTTGTCGGCTCCAGCGAATTTGAGGTCAATAATCTTCTGGATGATGAGTACAGTCCTCGTGAGCCTCTTGCCATTGTGAGGGATGCCTGCAGGATGGTCGGTCGAGAGCTGCCTTACTGTATCGCTACTCAGAATTGTGAACACTTTGTCACAGAGCTACGTTATGGAAAGCCAGAGTCCCGACAGGTGAGGGATTTTTACCTAAAAGAAAAGTCTGTGAGATCAAATGGGTTGTAAATTCTCTTGTGTTAAGCTGAACATGGCTTAAACCAACAGTGAAGAGCAACAGTAACACTTTATTGCTGTTTCAGTGAGAAATGATTTTATCAAAGTGTTTGTCTGCACCTGCGCTGGATGTGTTTATCATCTAAGCGCCTCATTTATTGTAAAGATACAAAGATGTAACACAATCTATTATGAATGATTAGAAGCAGATGTGGTGCTGAATAAATTTTGATTATGTATCAAACGGCAGATTAGCTGATTTGCAAGTTCCAAAAAAAGCTTGCTTAGTCAACCCGTTTGTCACCTTCGCTGCCATAAATAGCTCTCTGAGATGCATTAAAAAAAACTTCTTTTTCATAGTGTTCAATCAGAAAATGCAACATGGCAGCCGCTCAATTTTTAATGAATGTAAACATGGTCATTATTTTTTATTTTGTTTTTACTGTCTATTATTGCAGCCTTGTGGAAGTCAGCACTGAAATACAACCTCAACAACAATGCAATAACTGCTTTCCCTCCAACAACCAGCACAACTGCTTTTCTCTTTATTGTGTTTTTTTCCATAGGTTCAAACAGCAGCTGTGATTGGAGGCGTCGCGGTGGCAGGTGTAGCCGCTGCAATTTTGGGTGCCGCGCTGTTTTCCTCCTTCAACAAGGACGAAAACAAAAGAAGAAGAAATTATAGGTGATTGCAGTGACTGATATCATTAATATCAGTAAAAAGGAAGGAAATAGTTTGTTGGTGTAACAAGGTCAGCAGAAACAATAAGTTAATCACAGTGAGGATTTCTAGGATTGAAGATATTTTTGGAATTGTGGGTGATTTTAGAACGCTTAAATTTGTACTGCCTAAATTCTAAATAAAGATTTGGAAATTTGAAATGAGGCTTTTTGACCATATCACCGTACAGACAAATATACAATCTAATGCTTTGGATGTTTTTTTGCAATGTAGGAGGTCAGAGCACTGGGCCAGGCCAGTAAAGCTATCCGGTTGTTCAGTGATGACGCGACGAATCCTACTTCCGGGTCTAAAGTAGTCTGCGTTTAATATGGCTTTTGTGTTGTTAACATGTTTAATGTTATGTATTTTCTTATTTTTGATCTCAAAAAGCTCCTAAAACAGTCAGTGATCCCTGTTGACCTCCCTCGGCTTTTATTACCACTAATCATTTAATTAAGCTCAGTTTTTAAAACCTTAGGATGTAGCTACAGCCCAGCCCATGCAGCAGTATATGAATGACTAACCTCGTATTATGGATGGATTATCTCAGTTGTTCTCCTGGCTGAAGTTTGGTCCTTTTACAGCATCCTGCCATGCGATTACATTTGTTCCTGACCACCGAGAACACTCACGTTAACTTTTATCGAGTGGAAAAAAAGTTAGCTTGTTTATGTTATGCTAACATAGCTGTGTCGCTAGCAGTCACGTAGCACATCATTATATACCAGCTAGCCAAACTTCAGTAACCCTACAAACGTCACTGCTGTTTAGTTTTCTGTCTTCATTTATGCTGGAAGTGATAGCAGAGCTGTACGTTTTAATTTGTTTCCAAAACCCCGCAGTCAGGACATGCTATATTGTATTTAGATAGAAGCTAGCGAGCTAACTCCCTGCTAACTTCTAACTCCGTTAAATGTCATAAATTCCGCTTTCATGGATGCCTGGATGTTAAACTCAATTGTTACACCTGGTAGAGCAGAACGCTGATCATTTTATTAAAGATGAAAGACTTTAGACAGTTTTTCAACTCTCAGTAATGCCACAGTGATAGTTTGATATATGGACCTGCAGCGGAGTTTAGGCCCAGACACGGCTAGTGACGTCAGACTGAACAATCGGATTAGCAGGTGGGTGCAGCTGGGCTTGCTTAGGCCCCAGAATCACTACAGAATAGGGTTGCCAACTCCCTGAAAAATAAATAAGGGACACCTCGTGGCCAGGGCCGGGCAACCCAGTTGTCTTCACCCTTCCCAGTGTGGTAGCTCTTTTTTTTGTGTGTGAAATTATTTTTTAACCATTTGACTTGAATTTGATTTAAGCAGATGCATATTCTTTGTGATATGACCATATGGGAAACAAATGATCATTTAGCCATTTATTTTTAGCTCACAATGACAACATTAACACAGTAAAACAGGTCTCTTTCTTAAACAGAAGCCTGTCATGCTTAACTTTTGAGAATATAAGTAAATCTTTCTTTAAAAGAACTCTGTCCTACTTAACTTATTATATAAATTAATAGAAAGCAATAGAACGAAAAATATTCTTGTAACAGTGCACATATAGTGCATTTAGTACAGTTGGCTTCAGTTGAAATATTATTTCAGCTTTTCTAAAGCTAATCAGCTGCTCCTGTTTGTAAACCCACTTGTTCCCATGATTACGCATCTTAACTCATCATCATTATTCATCTATGTATTACTTTTATGTATTATTCATCTATTTGTTGTAATCATCTATCCTTGCATTTGTTTATTACACAAAATAAGTTATATTATCACACTTCTGGCCACATAGCCCTGATATTCACTGCACATGCCCATATTAACCTTAACCAGAGGGTTTAAAAAAAAGAAACCAGTGTTTACATACCATATCTGCTTCTGCCGTGGCCTGGCGGACAAAAAATTGGTAAAGGGTTCCCCGAGCTTTCACGCCCCTCATGTTCTTCATGTGCCCACCAATAGAAGCATGCCTATGGAAAAAGTGCGCCAGCACACAGTGCAGTGCGCTTTATAGTGCACTTTTCCAGCCAGGTGTTTTCCTTTTCCCATTCCTCCCTGTACTTTTGCAGCCTTTTTTTTTCTTTCTCTGAGCGAACAAACATTGCTGCTCTAATGCTGGGCTCACACTGTGCGATTTTTGGCCCATTTTGAGACGATTTTTGAGTCGTGCGACCGATTTGGTGATCAGACCGATTTTGGCCTTCATCGTGCGTCGTGTAGTATACGTGGGGTAACGAGAAGCGATTAACACCTCACGACCAGCTCCCGATCATCAATCGCTCGTGAGGGTGTCACCGCAGCTGCTCACGCGCAAACACGTAAACGTCGGTGAAAAAGACGGCGCAGCACAGCTGTGCAGCGTGTGATCTGGACACAAGCGATGGAGGCACAACTTGTAGAACTTTGGAAAGCTCATCCGAGCCTTTTCCATGTGGCATCACAAAATTATCACGACCACAACAACCGTGAAAATAGCTGGATTTACACTGTTGCTCAATCACAGCTGCCTGATCAATGTTTTTCATTAGCAATTTAGCAAAGTTGATGGTGGTGGTGTGTGTGTGTGAGTGAAAGACAGAGAGAGAGCGACAGATTTTCTGTTATAACCTTCATTTTATGGACGCACAGTGTGCCGTCCGAGACTTGCACCGCAGTGTCGGCGTTTGTTTCCCTGTTGGCCATGCTTGTTGTTGTGGTCATCGGTTGTCTTCCGGTATTTTCTCCGTAAGCGACCTTTCCTCAACCAATGAGATGAGCGGTAATCTGACTTGTCATACTCAAATTGTCATAAGTGTGCTGTCAGCTCATTGGTCACAAAGCAGGAGAGGGGCTGGGAATTATGTTTTCAAACAAAGTGTTAATTCCATTAAAAGTTATAGACTACTTTTGATTCTCACTGTATTACGGGACAAAGTGCGTCCCTTATTAGCTCAATACGGGACGTGTACTTTTGTTTCTAAATACGGGACGATTCCGTTTTTTAAGGGACGGTTGGCAACCCTACTACAGAACCCCACATTGTTTGAGGTCACCGTTTGTGAGCTCCATGAAATCCACTGCAGTCTGCAAACACTCTGGTCATGGGACAGAATCCAGCAATAATAAAGCCTCACACCGTCCACGCTTTGGGAGTCTGATGGAACGGTTAATGGTGGCTGATCGTGAGGCTCAGAATCACCATGCATAACAAATGTGCAGCATTTTCACTCTGTGAATGATAGAAAAGACATGCCAATAATATGCATGATTACAGAGAGATGGTGAGTCACAGCCTCAAACATGATCACTAATTAGATGGTATCCATTCATTGATCCATCCGTCTAATCCAGGGCCGATAAATCGATATTTGATCATGAATAAATATTTTTTTCACAGTTAATTTAGCTAAGAAATGCACTTTATAGTACATTTGTTCACTTTTCTTTACACTCTCCAGAGCTCTTTGCCTTGTAATTTTAGCCACAGTGGTTTGGGCTGCTGTCAGTGAAATGTAAGTGACGTTTACAAGCTAATAGAAAACATTCTCATAAACTTAGAATGAATTCATGAAAAATACACAGGAACAGATTGTTGGAAGTTGCCATGTTGTCCTGCCATCTTGAACACAGAGCTCATAGGTGTTCACGGGCTCTGGAGGGAAATTTGAATTAATGTCTGCACCTTCAGACTCAAAATATGTAGAAAATACGCAAAATGTTTTCCTTTTACATTTTATATAAAACCGATTTACCAGTAGGCCGCCTTTGTTATTTTCTTCTCAATGCACTCTGGGTAGTGACGTCACATGGTTGCACCGCATCGGGTTCACAATTAGCAGCGCACTGGAAATGGCTTCTGTTCGACTTTTCCCGTTTGAACCAGAGCAAACCGAGGGAGAGGATAAAATAGTCAACCAGTACTTAGTTTAGATGAAGATGAAAACAATCTGTCACACGAGGACGCGAGAGTGAGGGAAAACTACTGGTGTCTATGCAGCTACTGAGAGTGTTTGTTGTAAAGAGCTCAATTTTATGGCAGCAGCTACCCATGGTAACGCATAAGCGCATGATAAAAACACTAATAGAATTCTATTTTTTATTATACAGTGAAATTATGAAAAATTACAATTCTCCATGCAACACAGTGCACCAAAACTTTGAAGCCATATGTCTTAATCCAGATGTTCTTTGGGCAGCCCTTGTTAGTCTCCATGACCAGTATAGTGCTGGTCTACTAAGTCGTAACCAGGTTACTAATAGGCAAGTTAATTAACACCATTGCTACACTGCAAAACAACAAAACAGGTTAGCTGAACGAAAGCGCCTATACTGACGACAACCAATACATGTCATAGTGCCAGAAAAAAAATGGCCACTCCCACGGCTCCAAAATAGTTTTAAACAACAAAGATTTAATGAACAACAAAAAAAAATTTAGTTATTCTTAAGTATGTTTTTATGTAGTGGAGATAATTTGTAACATATTTAGAGTAGCTTGTCATAATAGTCGGGGTTTCTTTTAAGCCTAATCTTAAAAGTAGAGATAGTGTCTCTTAAATCCAAACTGGAAGCTGGTTCCACAGAAGAGGGGCCTGAAAACTGAAGGCTCTGTCTCCCATTCTACTTTTAAATACTCTAGGAGCAATAAGTAGGCCTGCAGTACGAGAGAAAAGTGCTCTAATGGGGGTGATATAGTACTATAAGGTCATTAAGATAAGATGGGGCCTGATTATTCAAAACCTTGTATGTGAGAAGCAGGATTTTGAATTCAATTCCGGGTTTAACAGGAAGCCATCAAGAGAAGCCAATACAGGAGAAATCGGCTCTCTCTTTCTAGTCCCTGTCAGTACTCTTGCTGCAGCATCTTGGATTAGCTGAAGGCTTTTCAGTGAGTTTTTAGGACATCCTGATAATAAAGAATTACAGTAGTCCAGCCTGGAAGTAATAAATGCATGAACTAGTTTTTCCAGCTTCACTCTGAGACAGGATATTTCTAATTTTATACATATTGCACAAATGGAAGAAAGCATTCCTACATATTTGTTTAATATGTGCATTGAAGGACATGTCCTGGTCAAAAATCACTCCAAGATTCCTCACAGTGTTACTGGAGGCCAAGGTAATGCCATCCAGAGTAAGAATCTGGTTAGATACCATATTTCTAAGATTTTCAG